CCTGTTGTACACACGGGACACTTCTTGCAGTTCTGTATAGAAACAGTGACGCACTCTCAAAATCTTCTAGACATACATTCGTTGGAAACCCACAAAACTGGATATAATTAAGAACGGTACCCATAATACTTTGAGGCAGTTTACACCAAAAATGGGCAAATTGCGTCCTGTATAAAATGCATATCTAGCTCTCACTGTAGTCGTTAATTTTTCAATGTTTATAAATAGGACATTTCATCATTCATCAGTAAACTGTCAGACGACAGGTCCACAGTCTCTTCCAAAACAGTTCCTCCACTTAATGCGATCTTCTGTTTTTGGAAAGAGACTATCCAGGAAAAGTGATAATGTGGTAGTTTTTCCATTTGCTTTCCACATCGCAGTACAACAGCCGTTCAAACCACTCTGGTCACGCCTGTTGCTATACGAACTTGAACCATCTCAAGTATCATTTGCTCTGTGCTTCAAGTCGCTGCTGAAAAAGGTACATACAATAGGCCTAAATAAGCATATTTTGACTGATATACAAATTTCTCGGTCTATATGTGAACTTTGTAACGTGTTCGTTACCAGACCTACAACAGGGCAAGAGAAACGGGAGTGCAGTAGGGTCCAAACTCGGTTCAGGATGTGTCCCACATTAGGTCATCCCGGCCGAATTATGTACTAACAGCGCAGTTCCACACTAGCACACTGGGCTGGCGAGAATATTTAACAAATACTTTCGGAAATCTGGAACTTGAGAATTTTTCTCAAGACGTTCTTCGGCCCTTGAATAAAGAATACATGCCCACCACTGCTTCAAATACGCCGCACCGGCCATGATACGGCGCCATTTCTGTCCTCACTATCTCGAAATGACATATACAGGTCCACTCTACATATAGTCTGCCGTTAACGACCGTATTGCTTCTACTAAAGAAGCCAGGGAGAATGCCCTGACGGCTCTGCGGGGCAAGGAGAGTTGTGCATAGGCCACTGCACCCAACGTCAACTCCTGCTGCTACCTACTGCCGACAGCATGAAGCTCGCTGCCAGTTCGTCAGGTTGCCGGTAGCGTGGCGCAAAGGCGCACTCAGCATCACTTCCTCCTTCGTATGGACCACAGGCAGTCTCCACCGGCTATGACGACTTTTCAGGGTTACATCACGACCTTTGTCGTTGCAGGTGAATACCTTCGAATCTGGCTAAGATTGCTTGTTCCGTTGCATCTTTCAGTTAAGATTTAATGAAATCTGTTACTGCAAACAATGTTAACACGTCTGTGTCACACACTAAGGTAAACAGACAGATTGGGGGTATTTGAGAACAGGATACAGGAAGCATAGTCGGATATAAGACACAGAAAGTAACATGAGGATTGTGAATGTTCTTATGGGGGGGGGCAGCTTTATTTTTTGATAGGAATAATTTTCCCGATATACAGTTTGTATGAAATTAAGATACAAACTGATGTTTAAGTATATCGCGTTTATTGCTTATTGCTTATGATGACTACGTGTTGCTTACACCCCGACACGCTTCGGCTTTACAAGACCATCATCAGGGAGTGTACCTCATTCATTACTTTACCCACGAAGACCCATGACAAAGCCGAAGAACTTCACACCGTCGGCACCAAGAGAAAGCGAGTATGACACAACACGCAGCAGGCACGAAACAGTACAACCAATGTGAAAGCCATAATTATAATCATTCACTCACTCACTCACTCACTCATGGAGCTGAGCCCTTCTTCGGAAGCTGCCAATTGTGCAACTACTCAAGAACTTCCCAGTATTTTATGGAACCCGAAGGTTCATTACCGTGTTCACAAGAGTCCTCCACTGGTCCATATTCTGAGCCACATCAATCAAATCCACACATCCCATCCCACCTCTCTAAGAGCCATTTTAATATTATCCACCCACCTATGTCTTAGTCTTCCTAGTGGTCTCTTTCCTTTTGGCTTTCCCACTAGTATCCTATATGCATTCATCTTTCNTACTTGGAGAAGAGTACAAGTTATGAAGCTCCTTATTATGCAGCTTACTCCAACCTTCTGTCCTTTCATCCCTCTTCGGTACAAATATTCCCATCAGCACCCTGTTCTCAAACATCCCCCCCCCGTCTATGTTCCTCCCTTAATGTCAAAAACCATGTTTCAAACCCATATAGAACCACAGGCAGAATTATAGTTTTGTATGTTCTAATTTTTACTGTAACATAAGTTTTAGCTTCATGGGAGATTTATGTCCGAGATACTGCAATTCGCTGATTTTATATAGGGTGCTAAAAAGGGTTACAGACTTCAAGGGGGGAAGGATAGTACTCACATACGAGTAAATGAGTATAAAAGTCCCAGTCACGTCCAGAAACCAGTGTCTGCTGAGATATGGCAAGTTCTCGCCGGGTACTGAGAAGAGTGGACGCGTATCCCGGAACCAGTGTGCGAAGAACTGCAGCTGCTGAAGTTATTGGTGCTCCCCTTGTGTGGAGAATTCTCTGTAAACAGTCACTTTACCTACACCACAAGCCCTCACTCCTCCTGACCACAGTGCAAGGGCGGTGTTTCTCGCAAAATGCTTTGCAAATACACAGTATGTAGCTAACAACCTGTTTCCTGATGAGGTGGGATTCACAGGGGACAGTGCTGTGAACTTTCCCAACACCCACGTATGGGTGGATGACATACCCCACACCGTGGCAATGTCGACATTCCATCTTAGGTGATCAACCCTTAGGACCGAACTAACAGGAGCAGTGTACCGCCCTTCTAGTTCTTCGTCTGCTGAATGGTTTTCCAGTGTCCTTGGAACATGTGCCTCTCCAACAACACATGTGGTCCACACATGATGGGGCACCATCTCATTTTCTCCGCATTGTCAGACAGCACCTGAACCAGACTTTCGGTCAGCAGTGGGCAGGACGCGGAGGGCCCGTCAACTGGCCTGCACGATCCCGTGACCTTCATCCTCTTGAGTTTTGGTGTATTCTGCGCCGATCAATGACTTAAGAGTTATTACAGCAACGAGTAGAGACTGCCTGTCAAAGATTCGAGTGAAACGAGGCATTTTCGACAGAGTGCGCACCTCTGTGCGACGCAGAGCCGGAAGTTGTGTTGAAATGCGTGGGAACCACACAGCGCATGTGATTCAGAGACCGCACGAACATCGCCCGTATCTCAGGAGGCACTGGTTTCTGGACGTTTGCTTATATTAAGCCACCTCAGAGCCTGAAACATTCTTTTAACACTCTGTATATGTGATCTGTGAAGTTTGCTTTCGATGAAGTACAGCCCCTGATGAAGGTCTTGTAAGGCAGAAGCAAGTCGGCGTTTTAGCAACGCGTAGGCAACATGAGAACAAGATACACTTGCATGGTAAGTTGTATCATAATTTCAGGGCTTTATAATTTATAATCGCAGCCAAATATTATTAGGGTGAGGAAGTCAAAAAATATGAAATAGGCAAAAATGTCACAGATTCGGAAATGAAAAATGTATACAAAATTGTAGTCGACCCAAATGGAACAGGCCACTTGGGTACCAAGGTGCAAATATCAGGACAAATTTTATATGAATTTTAAAGGCATATAGTTGGAGGGTGCAGACTATATTCATCTAGTTCAGGGCATAGTGGTAGAATTTTTGGAACTCGGTAATTAACTTCCGGGTACTCCATGATCCGCTGGGTGACAGAAAGCTTGTCAGGAAGGACTAAACTGGTGTTAATTAATTTAATAGAGGAATGTTCAGAATCAGCTACGTTCTCGTTTATTTCAAATAAAATTCTGTGTCTCGTTTTACACTTTTCAACAAACTGCACAAATAACCATAAGGAATATCACAATCGCTGTTACAAATACGAGTACAGAGTTCATAATTAGCCAGAGTTTTATTAGCAGCGTTAATAAGCGAGCAGGAATTCGAACCCAATTCGTCACGTGACGCAACCGAGTAATTACTCCTATAATCAAATCTTCGATCATGTAATGCTGGAATAATTATTATGATCAATTATAGGCAGACTGCGACATACATACCTCAGAGGTAATAGACACCAGACACCTGAAATGTAACATGACAGTTCGATTTCAATGATTCTCGAGCATAAAACGTTAGGGTCGTTATGCAGCAGGTAACAGTGGATTGTTCAGTCGGGGATTCCCTAAGGCTATATGACAAGTAGCGATTTACTTCGGGTTTACTTTTCTTACAGCGAATAATAGTTTGTTTTGAAATTCCTATTTCTTTATTTCCACACTGTTTCCTGCTCAAGTACCCAGCAAGTCGGCGCTAGAACCCTCAAAGTTGGTTCATGTACCCATTAAGTTGCAACAGGTACCCTTCAAGTTGGCTCGAGTATACAGATATTTGGCGCAAGTACCCAGCAAGTTGGCTCGAGTACACAAATAGTTGGCGCAAATACCCAGAAAGTTGGCACAAACGGTAACCGCTCTGACTCCTTCTCTTTCCTCTCCCGTCCTTCCATCCTCTCTCTCGTCCTCCAGTTTTCTTCCTTCTTTAGTTTCTCCCTTCCTCTATTCCTTTCAGTATTCTTTCATTCTTTAATAATTTTTGTAATCCAAATACTTTACCGAGAATCGAGCTGAGTTCTTTTCCCACTTTAACAGGAACTCTTTCAAACTCAGCAGCGGCCATTGTCCGACGAAATCAAATTATAAACAGGAAACAGCAGATATTTAAGTAGAATTTAATTTGTTTTTCTTTCCGTTCCCGCATTTAGCAGCAACCGCTTATTGCAGGAAATGCTACACTGGGTTTTACTTTGTACTTATGAGCCACCGAAGTTGTACGATATAGCTCGATTTCCTTTCTATACAGATTGAACTGTACTGGTCTATACAGATATATTATTAGCAGCGGGAAATACAAATAAACGTAGTAGGTTACTGAAGAGGACTCAACGTGGTTTACAGAACGCCTATACATTCAATTAGTAGGAATAATCACTTTTATAAACATACAACATATAAAAATTTGGTAATTTTGAGCTTACCGACGAAGACTGCTGTGCTGTTGTGTTGTGGGTCGTATGGACATAATGCTTGTCCGGACTTCTCGTTGTCCATGGCATACCCGTTAGCCTGAAAGAAACCGTTGCTTAGTATGAGAATCACAGTCTTGGGACAAAATTAACTTGGTGCTACAGTGCAGCAAGGTACAGTTAACAGCCAATTAGGTTTGCGTTTCGGGTGAGTCCGACAGCTGTGGTATTCCTAACATTACCAGGTAAGGTAAATTTGTCTCTGTGCTTAATTAATTAATTAATTAAGCACTATGCCATGAAGGCATGTGGGGGAGTGGAGGTATAGCTACATCGTCCTCTACATCGGTACTACATGAAGTTGGGATAGCTCAGTCGGTATAGCAATGGGCTGGATGGCCGAGGTTCCACTCCCGGTAGAGGCAAGATTTTTCTGTTCTCCACAGAGTCCAAACTGGCTTTGGTACCAATCGAGCCCCCTATACGAGTACAGAGAGTACCGAGGGCAATTCCCCGCGGGTAAAGCGGCCGAGGAGTGAAGCTGACCAGTCACCTCCAACTAGTGCCGATGTCAAGAATGATGGAGCTATACCTCCAGTCCTCCATATGTGATGATTCTACGAGAACTGTTCATAATTATTAGTGTTTTGTGTGACATATTAACGTTATAATGAGGAATTTTATCATTTACACTTTTCTATACATAGCAGACCAATGNCATACGAGGTTGATGCATTTGTGCATGTCGTACTAAGCAGGGTATAAAAACAGTTGCTTTGTGAGGAATTAGTTCGTACCATTGAATATTTGACGTAATAGACAAGGTGTCGCAGAAACCGATGTTGCTATAACCAAGTTTTCATGTATTAAAACTGAGCATAGAGGAATAAGGTGTGAAGGTGGGCAATGCGACTGCCTCAGGATAGGGTACAGTGATGTGCTTTTGTGGGCACGGTCATAAATTTTCGAGTTCCTTAGAAAGGGTAAATTCTGTGACCAGCTGTATATTAACTTTTCAAGATCATGCACTGTGCACTTAAACAGGTGGAAGGGTAAACAGGGCATAAAAAAAGGTATCCCTTTATGAGCAGGGTGTTGACACAGGGGATTGTCTGAAATTTCCTATGCTACCGGCTGTTCTCACTGAAATATTCCTTTGTTTTCTTTGGTCTCTCCAGTCCAATGTTGGGATACTATCTTGAAACAGACTATGGTAGCCCCCTTCCAAATCCCTACTAAGTCATCACCCGTGATCATCTTTCCACTTCTACAGTTAAAACATCTTCATTAATAACCAAGAAATCAATGTTCGTAAATAGCATGGCACCCAAACCACTAACATGGCAGCCGCATGATGTTCTGAAGATCTCTCTTGTCTGGGATGTGGCGCTGTACAGATCGGATGCATGAAATGAAAACTGTCTCTCACACGCTCACCTGAGGACAGAAACAGGTCCAGTTTTCGAAACGTTCTGATCTCTAGTTTTTAGAATATCTGACGATGGACAAAAGCAAAACAAACTCCGTGGTTTCCGTCCGCAAGCGAACTATACCGACCGAGCGACCACCGCAGGCCGGCGAAGTTAGTGCCAACTTTAGCGGTTAGAGAGTATCGCGTGTCAGCGCAACGGATCCCCAAGGCCGTTAATTTCGGTTTTTTAGACCGGAGCCGCCATTTCCTTGAAATAGCTCCTCAATTATCATCATCACGAAGCTGAGACAAAGTCCAAAAACCCAGCAATTCTGAGTACATTCTATATATATCAAGGGGATGCAAGTTCCTTGTGTACATCTGGGATATAGAGCGGAGCGTATAGTGCCAGTGGATGTCTAATGACATGGTTTGTGGCAAAACTCATTAACAGAAGCAGCCCGCAGCAAGGACCTCGTCATTTTGCAGAAATACAAATGAGAAAGAGGAAAGGATAAATGTCATGTGACATGGATAGGCAAGCTGTGTGTCTCCTCCTGCAACAAAACTACAAGACGTCCTTCACATAGTGGCGAAAGAAGATTCCTTCAGGTAGACCGTCCGTACAGTTTAAAGTTCTTTTTTCAATGGCTCTTACAGCCCATTCAGGGCCCAGGCCTCTTATTCAGTTCCGTAATCATTTTTCACAGACGACAGAACTCCATGGACAGGACAACACACACACACACACATGAAACATCCATTCCCTGAGTGGGATTCGAACCCACGAACACAGCGTCCGAGCGAGCGAAGACAGTTCATGCCAAGACGGCTACTGTCACAAGCCTTCAATTAATCACAGGCCTAATATATAGTACTAAGCCCTATACTGCACACCAAGGCGGATATGGTCGCCATACACTACGCTACATCATTCATTTCAAACTGCGAGGCAAGCCTCATTCGAAGAAGGAAAGCCCAGAGCGATGCAATTATTCAGAAGATGTAGGGGTGTGAAACTGATAAGTGTATCTGGATATGAGCGAGATTAAGTAACAGAAGGATGGAGTACATGACTTAAAAAAAAACTCCGTGGTCTTAGTCCGCAAGCGAACTATACCGACCGAGCGACCGCCGCTTATCGACGAAGTTAGTGCCAACTTTAGGGGATAGAGGGTGTCGCGTGGTCAGCGGAACGGATCCCACGGCCGTTAATTTTGGTCTTCTAGACCGGAGTACACGACTTAAGTAGTGCAACATGAAATAGGACACTAATTAGGCCTATGAATAATGGTTGGGAAAGGATCTGGAAGGAAAAGTTCATGGACTGTTTCAAGGTATTCTCTCTGCATTCTCACGGACATAAAAATAACGAGAAACCTGACTGAGGACAGGTGGTAACTTAGCCGAGATTCAAACCTGGTACGAATACAAGACTAGAGGGCCACCGCTGTAATAACCTGCTACATAAGAGTGTGAGCGCAGTCATGTTACTTCAGCATTCGTAAGCGAACTTTCAGCAATGGCGATACTCAATTAGCGAATGTTTCAGGCAGCCCCGTCTCACTGACGGTTACAGCCTACTCCGTGCGATAATTATGCTGCCATGTTAATATTACACCACGGTAATGACGCCATTGCGCGAGATAGAAGTGACGTCAGTTGCACCCTGGAGCAGGCACTCCACCATCGACCGAGTTCTTTACACCTGAAACCCTTAGCAATAATGAATTCTTGGAATATGACGCTAGAAGGATTATGTATCGTGTACTTTGAATATTCTTCACAGTACTATACTGAAACCTGCACATAACGGAATTTTGAAGGACAGTTAATGTCTTTCCATCTCACCATTCCAAGCAAGTTTATGTTTCCGCATACAGTACGATCTGCAGGCACAGACACACTGCAGCGTTTATAAGCAGCTGAAATTCTCACTTTCCTTGCTTTGTTGCGTCTTTATTTTTTTAATTTTTTCCAGCTGCCGTAGTCGGTATAGCGACTGCCTGACCGAAGGGTGGTAGTTCAAGTCCCGGTAGGGTCAAGAATTTCCCGTTCTCCACGTCGTCCAGACCGTCTCTGGGGCCCCCCAGCCTCTTATCCAAGGGGTACCTGGGGCTCTTTCCCCGGAGATAAAGCGGCCGGGGCGTGAAGCCGACTACTCACCTCCATCTAGTGCCCAGGTTAAGAAAACGTGGCTCTATACATCCACTCCCCCATAGATCTTCAAGGCTAAGTCTTAATTGGTTAAGCATGGGGACAACTTTGCCTTCTTACATTAGAATACAATCTACAAACGTTGCAGATAGTCTTGTATACGGTGTTTACCTATTTGTGATAAGTGTATTACTTATGAGACTAATTCCAGGAAGCATAACAAAGAACAAAATTTTATGAATAGAAAACAACAAATACTCAAACACAGTTTTTGTTTAATTTTTGTTTTTATTTTCAATCAGAGTTAAACACATCATGCTCATTAAAAGTAACTTCGCACTGATTTTCAGTCTGCAGTCTGAAGCCATTTCTTCACGGTGGTTCCCCGCTCGGGAATTTTTATACCCTGAAGATGGAGGCGATATGTTCCTCCGAAACGTCGGTTTACACAATATCTACACTGCGTCATATCCCAGAAGACGGCATTCTTCTTAACAGAGGTGTACATCCCGAACACATATGTAGAACTCGGTAAGGCGTACAGGCCATGAGAGAGTTTATGGATGGTAATCAGTAGGACTGGTTCATTTAATGATAACATTTCAACAGCTTACTTTACGGTCTTATCATTACGTCGCTGTACACAGCGTCCAACGGCAGGAAGGTTCGATAGTTATGGATTGAAAAGAATTTAAAAGGAAGTGGTACTAAAAATCTAATCTTCCTACAGGGGCTGAGGAAAATCGCGTAAAATCTGAAGCAGAATATGTGTTCCGGACGAGATCTGAACCCAACACATTCCGAATACGAGTCTCTAGCTTTACCGCTACACCAACCTTATCGGCAGCTGCATACTTTATGCAGAGTCAAATGGTACGATGAACAGTAAATGATCCGTTTGAAAGAACGTGGAAAAAAGACGTAACTACAAGGTACTATTCGGCATTTGTTTGGAGGGACAGTGGAAGGCCACGAAAACATCTCCGAACAGCCGGCCACTGGGCCAAGACTTGAACCCAAGCATGAAACAGGACTGCACTTCGTAGCGATTCCAGAATGTAGTCCGTACAAGGCACTATCCAATGAACACAAACAAAACAAATTCCGTGGCCTGTAGTCTGCAAGCGAACTATATCGACCGATCGACCGCCGCTTGTCGGCGAAGTTAGTGCCGACTTTAGCGGATAGAGGGTGTCGCGTGGTCAGCACAACGGATCCCCACGGCCGTTAATTTCGGTTTTCTAGACCGGAACTATCCAATGAATCTGAAGAAAATCGTGAAAAACACCTGACATGAATCCTGCCCGTACGGTTAAGCCCAGGAAATTAAACGACAAAAATGTCTCCATCAAAGGAGGGATATGAAGCGAGCGTGTCTCGTGTAGGAGCCTGTACGTGTGAAAACATGAAAGGCTGAGTACGTGATTCCCCATTCAGTCCCATGATCACAATATGAGGTACTTCTCACGGCCCTTTTATAGCAGCTGGTGACCTAGATTGGGAACGAAAAGTGATGTCCAGCTACCATAATG